TATGTATGCTGCTTATATAAGAAGTAGAGAGTTTTGGTCTTTGTTATGAAAAGGATTTATTTTTCAAGAATCAGAGTTGTTTAAGCAAGATAAGAGTAAGATTAAATATTTCTGGAAATCTCTCACATGCTTTATGAACCATTTGAGAGTTGTCTATTTATATCAATACTAAAGGCAGAGATAACTGGGGTTCGTGTTGGAGAGGTCCTAGGGATCATGCCAACTATGAAGTCTTTTCAAGTACTTGCAGCTAATTCCAAGGGCAGAGCAATTCTGCAACTCGGCGCAAGCTGAATCTGATATTGTGGTAGTAGGTACTAAAGAATTGTTCTGACCCTCCGTTTCCAGTGAGAAATAAGATAGGTGTGGAGGGTGAGCTGTAACCTTTGCAGGATCTCTAGCCATGCTTGGCAGATATGTTTTCTAGGATAATCCCACCAGGATTAAGTGGGATGACCTCTCTAACATACTCCTGTCTGTCTTTTCTGTGAGTTCATAAAGGTTTAAGGGCAAAGAAAGTTTGTTAGAGACTGGTACATGTGCTTACATGGTCTGCTCCAGCTCCATTCTTACCCCAGCCTTAAAGGCATTTTAGTCTTGGCATATTTTTGTGGTCAGACATTATTTTACTACTGTGGAGGGAATACAGTGTTTAACTAGGATGTTAATAGATATGTTTAGGCCATGTAAAAATTGAAATTTAATGAAGGATGAAATATTTTTGATTAATATGCTAGTTTTTTTCCTTCTATGTTCTGTTTCCTGTAAAATTCTATTGAGCAATTGCTGAAGTGGGAGAACACTACCTTTGTGTCAGAGTAATGGGGATTAGAACCAGCGTAAAAGAGTCTTCTGAGGTTGACTGTCCTTATATTTTACTTCCTAGATGAGGATTAAGTAAGGGCAGGCAATATTTGTCTTCAGTACCTAGCATATATTAATTTCTAAGCAAATGAGTACATAGGATCTGAAATAGCAGCACGAGTGCAATTTATGATTTACAATTTAAGCATCACTAAACATTCTGAATATTCCTCCTAAATATTTTCGTTTAGATCACATCATCAAGTAACATTGATATGTAGACTGGTATACAGTAACTGGTGTATAAAAATGCCAGAACAGTAAAACACTGAAGCAAATTAATGCATTTATGATTTGACTTGAGGCAACGAAGATTGTTATGGCCTGAACTTGTCATTAAAACCATTGCAGAGCAACATTATACATCATGAGAATGAGGCAGACTGTCAGCAGTCTGATTATAAGTATAATGTGCCTCTGGGGAAAGGGAACAGGGAATGTACAATGAAAGATACAGCTGTGACTTGGGACATAAAATGCATTGCTTATTTAGGCAAGGAGGGCTTGGCTTTACATTATGCCATAATTGCTGAGGGTTTTGGGGGCAGACTGTGTAGGGTGTTTGATAATGAAAGGTGAATGCTTTGCTTATAAGGTTACACACAGAGTAATTTATGGACTTTGTGCAAATAATGAGTTTTTATAGAAACGTTACTGATTTAATATTTTACTAGTAATAAGCAAAATACCTTCTAAAGCTGTTGGTTTCTTATTGAATTTTAATGGGAGAATTGGATTTTTAGGTATCTAAGGACAACCAAAGAAGTCACATAAGCTTATCTATATAAACTGGTATGCTGAAGTATCTATATTAATTGAATGCATTTTTAAAGGAAAAAAATACTTCTAAGGATGTTTTCCTGCCTTGTTCAAAAACTCTTTAAATCTTAACCTGATTAGCAGAGTAATCTATGCTACAGAATGTTCAGTTGATAAATTGAGTTTTTAACATTTTCCTGTCAAAAAAGTGCCAGTGTAGTCACAATTCTCATTTTAACCTGTATAGCTTCCATCTATCCTTTGAGAATTTGTCTAGAGTGTCATCACCTGTTGACTGCAGATGAGATTGTAGGTGATGAGGTTTTTTTGTTGGTATTTCATGTATCAGTCTAGGAGCAGAGGTACTAAATCATAAAACACGTTGTATAGCAAGAAAAAGAAACTGAAAACAAGGAAACTCGAACCATGGTTCTTAACATGCAAGCATTTACAGGTGCTATACATTAGGTAGGCTGGGAATCTTAACCTGAGTAATTTCTGATGGTTTGGGTTTTTTTGGAAGGTGGTTCAATTGTGTGTATGTTTTCAGTGGCCTTGTCAAGCTGATGGAGTTTCAATTGTTATTTTCAACGATTTCCATTTTTTTCACTTCAAGCAAGTCTTGGGTCAAAAAAAAAATCGAGGCTATTTCTCTCACACCTGACACTTTTTCATGGCAAGGGTCAATGTTAAATCATGTACTTGTTGTCATACTGGGGAAGGATCCATGTTTTCTTGGCAGACTTGCATGAATTTGAGACTGGAGGAATGGTATAGCATTTTCCTTACTGATGTGAACAAAGAGCAGTGGTGGTGTTATTCTTCTGTGAAATAAATTGCCTCCCTATTTGAGATTACAAGCCTGTCAGGCTAGAATATTGTTGGTTCTTCACAATTATATTGAAGAATATTATGTGGCTTTTTGTGTGTTGGATGTTTTGTGATAATTTGGTGAAGAGGGATTCTACTGTTATGAGTGTAAGTTCTCGGCCAATAGAGTTTGTGTTGTCCAAATCATCACAGAAGCTACATCACATTGACATTATGGGGATTTGGTCATGCTTGTAATTTTCTAAATGCTTCTAAGTGATTTACAGTGTATTGTGACCACTGTGTTTGTTCATTTACATAGATGGAGAAGTTATCCAGGCTTTGTCAAGCCATGGCTTACAGACAACTACTTTGACAACCAAAACTGATGGCAATGATGGCAAGTCTGAACACCTAGAGTATGTTGCCTTTGCTTTGGTTCCTGTTTTCTTCATCATGGGTCTCTTGGGGATCCTTATCTGTCACATCCTTAAGAAAAAAGGATATCGTTGTACAACAGAGGCTGAAGAACTAGAAGAAGAAAAACTTGATGAAAAAATAGGTAATCAAGTCTAATAAACATGTTCCTATTTCTGTACATTGCAACTAAGTAATTTATTGTGTAACTTCTGTCATTTCTGTCTATATTTGACATCAAAGCCATGTTAAGAAAAATATTTTTATTACTATATGTCAGTTGTGTTTTGATCTTTGCTAGTCAAAACTAGGAGTGTCCCAATTTCTCATGCATGTCCTCTAACATTAAGTGCTTACAGAAGGATCAAAGTATCCCATGTATTAGTTTGTAACTCTGCAGTGCAGTTGGAACGACCAGATTATTTTTCTGCATCCTACATGCTGTTAGCAATGAGGTATTAGTATACTAATGTTAGTATTAGCTCTGAGGAGTGGCAAAAAGCTGCCATTTAAAGCCTAAAGTCTTAGTTTTGTGTTTAGCAGTCTTAATTTGTTCCTGTTGTGCTGTCATTCTCATCTCCTCTCTCCTTATAAAACCAAGCCTTTGAACGTCTGCATTCTGTTTTACATGATGTCTGCTGCTTGTAATTTTTTCTTAAAGATACCTTTGTTTTTGTCCTAATGTTTGTGCTCTTGTTTTTATTATTCCTTATTCCTGATTATTCTTACTTGGGGGAAAAAATGGGTGTTACCAGTTGGGAAGGGCTATAGTAACCCAGTACAGCAGTTGGCTAAGTGAAAACTTGTAAGTACTCAGGGCCTCTTCCTTTCTCCCAATTAGTTTCTGTCAGCAGGCTCATAATGAGTGCAAATTACAGTGGCTCTGTGGTCAGGGTAGAGCCATGTGGTGTAGTAATGATGTGTCACTGTGTTCTTCAGCATTTACTGCCTGGGGCATGTGTGGAGTGAGTTGAACTATCTGAGCTGTTAGCTCACCTGAGGGGTAACAGCAAGGTGAGCAGTAATGAAAGGAGGACATCTAGGTCTCAGTTTTGGGACCTACATTGCAAAGTTGCAGGTATTAAGATGAAGCATGGGTACAGAGATGGGGTAGCCCTTAATTTACTGTGCAGCAAAAAATTTAGAGTCTTGCTTAACAAACTTGCCTCAATCCTGTGGATTTCTCTTTTTAATTCAGTGCTATAAGAATTACTGGGGAAGGGCTGAGTTGTGACTCTTCATTGTTCTAGTTCCCTCCCTGATCTTTTTCAGCCTTTGGAGGTTATTCTGGGGAAGCTTTCAGTGTCGTTAACAGGTGCATTCTATTCCAAAAGTTTTGAGTTTGTTGTTTTGTTTTTTTTTTAATTAAATCAAAATTTTCTAACAAATCAGTTTGAAGAAATCAATTATGTCCTTGTGGATGTGGTGAAAAAGGTAAATTGAATCCCCCTTATATCAGAAGCCAATAATATCTGTTTTAGGATAGTGACTTGAGACAGTTTAGTCATTTGGTTTGTTTTGGGGTTTTTTGTCCCCTATAGTTAAAGAAATATTGTTGTCTTGTTTGTCTCCTCCCTTTGATGTATGCTTGTGAGAATACTGAGTTTATTTACTTCTTAGCTGAATTCGTTAGCGCTGATGTATTGATCATAAACTCATGTTCATATTTTTCCTGAGTAAGGACTAAAATGTCTTATCTGAGCTTTCCCTCCATAGTGACAATGCATCTTGGTTTTTTGTTAAATGTAGTTTCTTCTGGTGCATGTTTGTTTGTTTGTTTTTAGTTTTGTTTTGAAATAACTCAGTTCTTGATTTGGAAGGCCAAGATACTGACAAGATGTTTATTTCTCCACACAGAAATGAATGAAACTATACTTGACAATAGTGACACTGTGGGGCAAATCGTTAACTACATCATGAAAAATGAAGGTATGGTATTGTGATAATAAAGTTACCTGCCTTTGTAATACTGTTATCTTACAAATGTTTTTTCTGATATGCTGAAGTATGGTTCATGTGTTTTCATTTACTAACCTACTTGTTCATGCTGAACTCTTTCAAATTGCCTTCAGAAGGCAGTAGCTTCAAGCAGGGTAGGGAAGCTTTTCTTTTACCTGTAAATTGTCTTGTGTGGTACGTTCAGGCCATGCATTTCCTGATGTTTTAATTGTTTGGATATTGAACTTTTTTTTTTTTTTTTTTTTTTTTTTTTTTTTTTTTTTTTTTTTTTTCAACCTTTTACTTCATTTGTGAAGTAAAAGCTCAAGGTTGCTTACTTGGTGGGAGCATTTAAAGCATGTGGAGACTTTCATGTTTTGACTAGATTAAACTTCTTGTCTTGAAGTGATTCTTGCAGCACTTGTCTGATGAAAGACAGAACTGAGGCAGTGCAGAACCAAGACAATAGACTATACTAGCAGTAGTGATGAATTTTGTACATGGTATCACCTGCTGTGTGTGCAAAGGAAAGGTTAAGGAGGAAGATATGACTGAAAAAACAAAATCATAGTTAAGCACTCCATGGAATACTTGGTCAATTCTGAATTTATTTGCCCAGTAGAAGAAAGATTTAGGAGACTGGATGCTTTTATAGTACAGGTACCTTTAGCATTTTAATTTTACACTTGTATAAATCAGACTAAGCATTGAACTGGCTTGGAGTTACTTCTGATTGAAGTCTAGTCCTCTGGAAAAGTGGTATTTTTGGGTTTGTGTGTAGAGTTTTTAGGGCTTTGTTTTGTTTTGGTTTATTTTTTTTTTAAAAATTGTTAGGGCTTTGTAGCTGTGTTTTTTTTCTTTGAGGTTGGGATTAGGTAACTCGTGTTTGTGGGCAATTGATAGTTATTGGCTGATAATTAATTTGCATTTTGTAAGGCTCACTTAAACCAGTGTTTTTAATCTGAAATGGCTTTATACATGTGAGGTGGTTCAGAGATCTTGTTTGAGAGTTTTGTGCAGACAGCTGTGCTATTTGGCTTGTATTGGGTGGAGCTTTGAGTGCAATATGAACTGTAATTTTAGTAGCTCATGTTAAGAAATTCCCATAAATTACATTAACATTTTCCCCATAATTTTCTCTTACGCCTTCTTGGAGATAAACATAATGTGGTCATCTTTCTTTTAGATTAAATTTCTTTGAGGAACTTTAATTTGCTTTTTGTTTTTTTCTAAAGTTAGAGCCGTACACTTTTGAAGAGTTGTATTTATTCTCATTGCAGCAAATGCTGATGTGTTAAAGGCCATGGTAGCAGATAGCAGTGTCTTTGAACCTGAAAGGTAATTACTTGTCTTTTTAATGCATGTTTCCTGAGGCAACTAAAAACACACCCTTTCAAAGGATTTATTTCCTGAACACTTTCAAGACTACATTGCTTGCTTGAGTTACCAGCTAAGAGGATAATACTTTGATTTCCTGTGGTGTCTCTGAGTCTTTAAATTTTAATGTATGCCCTGGGTGAGTGACTGGCTCTTCTGGTTACTTGTTCTAGGTGTGTGATGAGGTTTTACTGCTTTTTGGGCTAAAGATTTACAGAGGCTGCAAATACTTGTTTACTTCAGGGTGAAGTTACTTACAAGGTAACTTAGCACAAAGCTACTCTGACTTTAAAAGAAAACAGAAGCAGCTCTCATTTCATTTGTGTGGATGCTAACTTATAGTAGACATGTGTTTCTCTGTCTCCTTCTAGGGGTTTAATTTTTTTCTTTATAATTGCAGCAATATACACTGGTTGACTTACCTATTATGTTTTTTTCACTGCACACTTATTTGGATAATTCTGTAGAGAAAGGAGTTCAACCCTCGAGTTACAGATGCATCAATTGTAAAAGTACTTGTATCTGTACCTAAGGACTTTTAAACTTTATCTGTACTACCCTAAATACTCTTTAATATGTAATCCTGTGTTCATATTCAAATGGAAGATCAAGTAGTGCTGTATCACCTATAAAAGAAGTGGAAGTATATAATTTTAGCAAAACTAAGACTATGCAATTGCTGATCCCCTGTTATAGTGGTGAGAGGCTATAGGTTATTGAAGAAAAAACATAACTTACAAAAGGATTTCATTTCAAGTACAGGAATTATTTTTATACTTGTATGGTGCAGTAGAAATACTTGTTTGAATTTTAACTCAACCTTATTATTTTGGCATGTGTAGTGTTATTTTGGGAGTTTTAGGTTTAGAGTTTCCGTGGTGAATTAAAGTACAAAAAGTGAGGGGAAGGGAAAAAAATCATTGTTTGCTCTGACAGACACTGCTAAAGCTTTTGTAATCAAGTGCAAATCCACTGTATTTCTTTTGAAGTTCAGTGCATCATGAATGTCTCCTAATTATAGGAACTATAGAATCATAGAATGTTAAGGGTTGGAAGGAACCTTAAAGATCATCTAGTCCCAGCCCTCCCTGCCATGGGCAGGGACACCTCCCACTGGACCAAGTTGCTCAAGGTTTTATCCAACCTGGCCTTGAACACTGCCAGGGTCAGAGCAGCCACTACCTCCCTGTGCAACCTGTGCCAGTGTCACACTGCCCTCACAGTGAAAAATTTCTTCTCTTCCTAATATCTAAATTTGTCTTTCCATTTGTACCCATTACCCCTTATCCTATCACTACAGTTCCTAACAAAGAGTCCTTCTCCAGCTTTCTTGTAGCCCCTTCAGATGGTGGAAGGTTGCTATGAGGTCTCCGTGCACCCCTTATCCTATCACTACAGTTCCTAACAAAGAGTCCTTCTCCAGCTTTCTTGTAGCCCCTTCAGATGGTGGAAGGTTGCTATGAGGTCTCCGTGCAACCTTCTCTTCTCCAGGCTGAACAGTCCCAACTTTCTCAGCCTGTCTTTGTAGGGGATGTGCTCCAGTCCTCTTACCAGCTTCGTGGCCACCTCTGGGTTTGCTCCAACAGTTCCATGTCCTTCTTATGTTGAGGGCACCAGAACTGTGTACAGTATTGCAGGTGGGGTCCCATGAGAGCAGAGTAGAGGGGGAGAATCACCTCTTTTGACCTGCTGCCCACACTGCTTTGGGTGCAGCCCAGGATTCCATTGGCTTTCTGGGCTGCTAGCACACACTGCCTGCTCATGTTGAGTTTTTCATCCACTGTCACCCCCAACCCCTTCTCCACAGAGCTGCTCTCAAAGGCATCTCCATCCAGCCTGTAGGTGTGCCTGGGATTGCCATGACCCAGATGTAGGACCTTGCATTTGGCTTTGTTAAACTTCATGAGGTTTGCATTGGCCTGTCAAGGGTCCCTCTGGATGGCATCCCTTCCCTCCAGCATGTCAACTGCACATAATGATGATAACAACTGAATGACAAACAGCTGAAGAATAACAACAGAGTAAAACCTGCACTTCTGCCACTTAAACCCATTAGTTACTGTCTTGGTTTCAGTTATGGAACAGATTTTCTTTTCTTTAATGGTATTTTCTTATTTATTTGAAGACCATTGTGTCCTTCATTATTTTTGTTTTGAAA